TTTTGTGTGAAAGTAGTTTACCTCAAACCAATTTAAATTATTCCAGCTTAAAATATCTACTTGATTAAAATCAGATTTATGAATGTTCACATCTTGGTGCTAATCTTTTTTTTAATATTTATTTTACTTTTGGTGAAAATATATACACAGCAAAAGATACACCCATTCAGCAATTTCTGTGTGTACAATTCAGCAACATTGGTTACATTCTTCACGTTGTGTCATCGTTCTCACTGTCTCTACCCAAATTATTTTACCACCGTTAACTTAGACTCGCTGCCTCCTAAACTTCTCATCTGTGCTTTAGAGTTACTATTGTCAATTTGATCTCATGTATATAATTCTTTAAAAGAGTGCAGTACTCAAGACAAGCATTTTTAACTAATTGAGCTAAACTGTTGTTTGGTTTAAAGACGAGTTCAGGGGATAGTTTTGGTTCAGAACTTAAAGATTATCTCAGGGCAGTAGGTTTGAGGATTCCTCCAGTCTCAGTGGGTCCAGTAAGTCTGGATTCCAGAGGAATTTGATATTCTGTTCGACATTTTTTTTCCCTTTTAATCAGGATCTATCCATTGAGTCCTTGATCAAAATGTTCAGTAATGATAGCCGGACACCATCCAGTTTTTCTTGTCTTATGGCAGAGGAGGCAGTAGTTCATGGAGGCAGTTAGATCTGCAGTCCATTTCCTTCTTCAGTTACTGGGTCTCCTTGCTCTGCTGCTCAAGGCAAATAGAGACCAGTTGTTTTATCTTGGATGACTGCTGGCAAGCTTTTCAGAACCTAGGTACTATTTACTGAACTAGAAGGCAGAACAGAAACTCTGAAAACAATATTAGTCCCATTGACTGGATTGCCGCGTGAAACCATGACCCTACACCATTGATCCAATAAATCTAATCCCATGAAGTGTTTGGTTGTACCTAAGTGGTATCAGGAGCCCTGGTGGCGCAGTGGTTAAAGGTCGGTGGTTCAAACACGCTAGCCGCTCCAAGGGAGAAAGATGTGACAGTCTGCTTCTGTAAAGATTTACTGCCTTGGCAGCCCTATGGGACAGTTCTACTCTATCCTATACGGTCACTGTGAATCAGCATCAACTTGAGGACAGTGGGTTTGGTTTTTGGGAAATAGTATCAACAGCTGCACTCTTTTTATTGTTATTGTTGCTGTAAAATTATATATAACACAACATTTACCACTTCACCCTTTTTTTTT